GGCGACTAAAATATTTGTTGCTAAAAATACTCATTTCGCGACTAATTTATTTTTGGTCGGCAAAATGTGACATTCTGCGACCAAATTTGTAGTTGGTCGCCAAAAGCATACCAATTTCTGCGACTAACTCATTTTTGGTCGCCAAAATGTGACCTTCTGCGACCAACTCATATTTGGTCGCCAAAAATATTGATCATTCACGACTAATTAATATTTGGTCGGCAAATGTCATTTTTTTGCGACCAAAATATTTTTGGTCGGCAAAAGTGGTCGGCAAATATGTAAATTCTTGTAGTGCTACTACATATAAAGGTTTTAGGAATCAAACTTTTTTATTCCTAAAAATAAAATGTTTGAGACAAAAAAAAATTAAGAGACCATTTTTTGTCGTCAAGAAAGTGTCACTAAAAAATCGCCCCAAAAAGTCAAAAAAATTAACTTTAGCAACAAAATTTTCAAAATGTTGCTAATAAATGCACTTTTTGCGACGGACAATTTCATGCCAAAAAAAAAAAAAAACTTTTTGAGACAAATTTTGGTTTTAAAATGATAGTAATTCATCACTTGAAGCCAATTTTGTCGTTAGAAGTACAATAATGACGATTTTAGATACTAAGATATTTCATTCCTAAAAAGTGATTTTGTTTTTAAAACCTTGATTTGTTGTAGTGACTTTAAACATCTTTTTTATTTCTGGACATCTACAGGGACCTTAGTGCTAAGAAAAACACAGCTTGCTGTATCAGTTTATGAAATTTCTTGAAATTACGTACTGCTAAACCACCAGTGCACCATGCCCTGCGAATTTCCAGGGCATACCCATCTCATCCCCCCACCAATCAAGAATGGCACGCCACACTTCCCTAGAGAGATCACACAGAAATAGAAGATGATCCATTGATTCATCACAATTTCCACAAAAAACACATTTAACATCAGCAACAGTTGGGTAAATCTTTAGTAGCTATCCTTCCCAAATACACTTGCCATGGGAAAACTTGGAACTTTGGGGGAGCAGAGTTCCTCCAAGCCATTTTGATGGGATCAGGTTCGCAATAATGAGACTTGAATCAAGCAACACGATGATGAACTGTGGACCTTCTTGGTAAAATAGATCAAACTGATTATTATCAAAATGATTTGAACTGTTTCAAAGACTCAACATGCATTTTTTTTTGCATTGAGCTCTTTCATGATATTTATGTCAGTTAGTCTGCCTTATTTTTTCTTGACAGAAAAAATAAGGAGATGGCTTTTTGTGCTCTGATTCATTATTTGAATTTTGATTCAGGAGCACTATCTAACGTGTTTCAAAAAAGGATTATCTTGACATAGGTCTGCCTCTGGCCTAGATTAACTATTGACTTATTGTTTTAACAATTGAAAATCAATATATATATATATATATAACACAATAATTGATAACCCTATTAATTCCTGTCAATTTTTTGTCATAATGGTGCAGGAAATGAATTGAACCAGTATATATTACACAATACTATCACACATGACATCAACAAATTCTTTCAACCAAAATGCACGAAAAACTTAAAAATATTTGTTAAAGAATAACAATTATTTCCATTCCATGGAAGATACTAGTTATGTATATACATACATATTTCATATTCATCCATCAGTATAGGATTATGTAACATAAGGCAGTTGATATTAAAACGCCATATTTCTGTTTAAAAAAGCATCCTAGTAAGGACGTTGACCCACATAATTTCCTGGTGGATAATAGTTGCAGGTGACAAACCACCATTTATTCTGGCATTGAACTCTAGCACAGCCGATTTGAGTAGTGTCGCGCCAAACAACTTGAGTGTAATGCAGGCATCCAGCAGCTTCACCAATACATGCATTTGAACCGTAGTTGTACTTTGGCTTCTCATCTACCCACATCTTCATCACGTGCACAGCTGTAAGTTCGCCCGAACTCTCTGCAATGTTTTCACCATATGGACCATTTCAATGCTCCAAGTTGCAGTCAGCACTCCTCAGTTTGGCGTAGTTTTCGGCATAGGCAGCTACGGTGTTATTTCATGTAAGAGGCTTGATTCTGATTTGAGCTCGAGCGGCATTGTGGGCAGCAAGGAAGTCCTGGGGGGAGTTTGTGCTTGGGAAAGGTGAGCCATGGTCAAGGCCATGAATGAAACAATGACTTGTGAAATCTTCGAGAGAGCCATTTTGATTCAATCTATGTGCTTATGGGAGGATATAATTTTATGATTTTTGGGTATTTTGAAAAGATAGTTAAAAGTTAATTTTTGACTTCTTTATCAAGTTTTTTTGACTTCTTTAGAAAGTCATTTGAGAAGTTGATAAAAAAATTGATTTTTGATTTTTTTTTTTTTGTTAATATTTGTTTTTACTGTCACATCATATTCAAATGACCAAAATACTCCACTCAAAAGATTTTGCCTTAGCCCACAAATGTAAACATGGAAGGTATAACTGTAATTTCACAAGTAACTTTTAACTACCTTTTCAAATGGTTAAAAGTTACACTTCTAAATGGTTTTGATGTCAAAGATCATTTTCAAATGATTTTGATACCAAAAAAGTTAACTTTTGACTTTTTTGCCAAGCTGTAAAAAGCAACTTTTATTTTTCTTCTCAAATGGCTCCTTTTACAAGCAGGATTTTTCTAGGATACATGAAGATGGTTTTCATGTATCATATATAAATAATTTTGGACTATTAGATCTAAAAGTAAAATAAATCTAACCATTGATTAGTAATAATTAAAACCAGGTTAAGAAATCTAGGTAATTTCGTAAAAAATAAGGTGATTTTCAATGGTTTTGAAACCAAAAAGTGGTTTTTAACTTACCACAATAACTATGTATACTTACTATTTGATGTGATTATACTTACTATTTTTAATAACTATACTTACCATTCAATTATTGATAAAATACACTTAACCTGCTATTCAGGTAACGGGTAAACTTAAAAAATCAAGTTATAATAAATTTTCAAAATCTCTAAAATAAATATAAAATTAATTTAAGAAAAAAAATATACAAAATAAATTTGAATTCTAAACATTTTATTATAATTTATTACATTTTATGAAATATGATTTTTTATTTATTTATCTACTTAATAGCAATAAATGAAACCTAATTTCCTTTTCATTTATCACACTTGAAAATAATAAATGCAATTAATGAAGAAATATAATTAATAAAATATAGAAAATTTTATAATTTATTTGAGGATTCCATGAACAAAATTTTATGTTTATTTTTAAAAATTTTGAATATTTGAAGATTTAAAAATAAGATTGTTATTGATTTGGAACTCCTTAGATAAGAATCTATATTCTCTACCTCTTTTTTTACATTAACTTTCCATGATATTTTGAATTTATAAATTTTAATATTCTGTTGGAATAACATTTCACCTAGTTAAAAAATATATATATGAGATTTAAGTGGTAAAAAAAAAAATCAAGTTTGATGAAATAGTAAGTGCGATCTTAAGTTTAGTTTAAATGATTAATTAAACGAGTCTACTAAAATTGTAAGTAGAGCTCCATTGAGTAGTAAGTATTGTTTAAATGATGAGTTAAGTTTGATAAAGTAGTAAGTAGAGTCTAATTGAGTAGTAAGTGTTGTTTAAGTGATGAGTCAAGTTTAATAAAGTAGTAAGTAGAGTCTCATTGAATAGTAAGTGTTATTTAAATGAGTAGTAAGTCAAGTCTGATAAAGTAATAAGTAGAGTCTCATTGAGTAGTAAATTTGGTTTAAATGAGTGGTAAGTAAGTCTGATAAAATAGTAAGTATGGTTTAAATGAGTGGTTTTCAATTTATTACAATAACAAAACACATTTACTACTTGATATAGTTGTAATTATTCCACATAACTACACTTACCATTCAAATATAAAATTTATAAAATAGAATGTAAACAAAATATATATATATATACAAAATAAATATGAAATTTATAAATTTATTATAATTTTTTACATTTTATGGAATATGGTTTTTTTATTTATGTACTTAATGGCAATGAATGGCAATGAATGAAACCTAGTATCTTTTTCATCTACCACAATAAATGCAATTAATGAGAAATATGATTAACAAAATATAGAAAATTTTCAATTTCATTTGATGATTTCATAAACAAAATTTGATGTTCATTTCTAACACTTTCGAAGAGTTTAAGATAAAATTGTTGTTGATTTGGAACTCCTTAGGTAAGTCTCTCTCTTTTTTACTTTCACTTCCATTATATTTTGAATTTATAAATTTTTTATTGTTTGTTGGAACAACATTTCACCTAATTAAAAGAAAAATTATGAGATTCAAGTAGTAGAAAAAAAAAATAAAAATCAAGTTGATGAAATAGTAAATGTAGTCTTAAGTTTAGTTGAATGATTGACAAGTCAAGGATGTTCATAATCTAAAACTTTCAGAGATTTAAGATAGATTGTTGTTGATTTGGAATCTCCTTAGGTAAGTCTCTCTCTTTTTACTATCACTTCCATTATATTTTGAATTATAAAATTTTTACGTTTTGTTAGATATAATATTTCACTTAATTAAAAGAAAAATTATGGGAATCAAGTGTGTAAGAAAAAAAAATCAAGTTGATGAATAGTAAAATGTAGTCTTAATTTCAAGTTTAAAGATTGATAGTCAAGTCTAATAAAGCTAGAAAGTAGAGTCTCACAGGTATTAGTTTTAAATGAGTGATAAGTCGTTTAGAGTAAGTATTAAAGTGTGGCTTAAATGAGATAGTAAGCCATATCTGATAAAAGTTGAGAGTAGTCTCATAAGTAAGTATGTGTTTAAATTGAGTGATGTAAGTCAGTTCTGACGTAAATAGTAGTTAGTTCTACACTTGAGCTTTACGTAAGCAAGTGTGAGTTTAAAGTAGAAGGACTAGTCAAGTTATAGTAGTAAGAGTTAGTGTAATGATAGAAGTTTTCAATGTCTGATTATACGTAAGATCCATTCATACTGTAATGGTGGGTGAACATGTGTCAAGTCAGTGAAAGTGTAATATCACGAGTAGAGTAAGTGGTAATTCTTAAAAGGAGTGAAGTCAAGTTCAAATTATAGTCAGTATTGTAAGATAGTCGTAATTGAGTATGGTTTAAATGAGTGGTAAGTCAAACTCTGATAAATAGTAAGTACAGTCTCATGACTAGTAAGTGTGCTTTAAATGGCTATAAGTCAAGTTTGATAAAGTATAATAAGTAGAGCTCATTGAGTAGTAAGTGTAATTTCTAATAAAGTAGTAAGTATAGTCTCATTGAATAGTAAGTGTGGTTTAAATGAGTTAAGGTTGATAAATAATAAAGTAGAGTCTTATTAAGTAGGTTAAGTGTTGTGGTTTAAATAACTGATAAGTCCAGTTGATAAGAGTAGTAAGTAGAGTCTTATTGAGTAGTAAGTGTGATTCAAGTGAGTGGTAAGTCTCAAGTTGATAAAGTTGTTAGTAAGTCTAATTGAGTGTAAGTATGGTTTAATGAGTGGATAAGTCAAGTCTGATGAAATAGTAAGTACAGTCTCATTGACTAGTAAGTGCGGGTTTGTAAATGGCTGATAAGTCAAGTCTGATAAAATAGTAAGGATAGTCTCATTGAGTAGTAAGTGTAATTCTGATAAAGTAGTAAGTACAGTCTCATTGAGTAGTAAGTGTGGTTTAAATGAGTTTAATTATCATTCAAAAACACAACACTTGCCATTCCTTCTCATTCTACTAGCAACTCTTTGTGACTCAACTTACCACTTACCATCTATTTTACCACCTAGTATTTTACTTACCATTTTCTACTTGCTTTTTCTTAATTAATTTGTTTATGCTTATTGCAGATGGAAGACAACACTGAGCAAAACAAGAATAACATTATATATGAACTAGTTGATGATGACGGTAATGATGGTGAGTATAATATTCATAATGAAGATGATATCGTCAATTCTAATAATATTCCAACCGAAAGAGATATTAAGCGTCTAGATGAATTAACTGAAAAGGATGTGTTTGAAATGACATTTGATTCAGAAGAAAACGGAGAAAGATTTTATAATTCGTATGCTAAGGTGAAAGGCTTTAGTATTCGAAGGGATCAATTGTATAAGGACAAGAATAATATGGTTATATCAAGGAGTTGGGTATGTTCAAAAGAAAGATACAGACAATCCAAATACCTTGAGGTTGAAGAACGTAAAAGAGAACCAAAACAATTAACTAGAGTTGGTTGTCGTGCTTGTTTTCGTATCAAATACAATCGGAGTACTTCGAAATATGAAGTGAATGAATTTTTCAAGGAGCACAATCATTCCATGGTAGGGCCTCTTGGTGTTCAATTTCTTCGCTCACACCGGAATGTTACGAGTGCCGACAAAGCACAAGGCAATGCAATGCATCATGTTGGTATGAGGACAAGTCACATTATGGACTTTGCTGCACAACAAGCAGGTGGCTATGAGAATGTTGGGTTCATACAGAAAGACATGTACAACCATTTTGGGACTGAGCGTAGAGCGCAAGTTGTCGATGGTGACGCAGAAGGTGCTTTAGCCTACTTATGTGGTAAAGAAGAGCAAGATCCAATGTTTTATTATAAATATGATGTAGATGAAGAAAATCGATTAAATAATTTGTTTTGGACTGATGGTGGATCTCGAACAGATTATCTGTATTTTGGTGATGTGTTGATGTTTGATACTATATATCGGACAAATGCGTACAACGAACCTTTTGTGATACTGCAAGGTGTGAGATCCAATGTTTTATTATAAATATGATGTAGATGAAGAAAATCGATTAAATAATTTGTTTTGGACTGATGGTGGATCTCGAACAGATTATCTGTATTTTGGTGATGTGTTGATGTTTGATACTACGTATCGGACAAATGCGTACAACAAACCTTTTGTGATACTGCAAGGTGTGAGCAACCACATTCAAACAACTATTTTTGGGTGTGCACTGTTAGCTTCCGAGACAGTAGAGACATACATATGGGTGTTAGAGAAATTTTTTGATGCGATGGATCACAAGATGCCTCTGTCTGTAATCATTGACGAGGATAAGGCCATGTGTAGAGCAATCAAAACAGTTATGCCTACTGCTCGACATCGATTATGTAAATGGCATCTTAAAATGAATGCTCTTTCCAATATCCACATAGAGGGATTTCTTCATAGCTTTGAAAAATGCATGTCAATGCAATGTACACAAGAAATGTTTGAATTAGAGTGGAAGAACCTTGTAGACAAGTATGGCCTTCATAATAACAAGTGGATTGCAGATGTATATTGCAAGCATACTCTATGGGCTGAAGCATACCTCCATGGACATTTCTTTGCTGGTGCAAAAAGCACGCAATGTTGTGAGAGTATGAATGCATTTTTGAATCGATTCCTAAAGGTGCGCCTAAGGCTCTTTGAATTTGTAAGGGCATATGATAGAGCACTTGCAAGACTTCGCCATAACGAAGCTAAGGCACAATCCGAAACTGAGAATACCACTCCTATTCTTTCTACAGGTATGAAAAGGATTGAAAAACATGCAGCTGATATATTTACTCGTGCCATATTTTTCAAATTTCGCGAACAAATAAAATCCGAGCAAGTGTTATTTATGTCAGGAAAAACTGATATAGAAGATATTCACGTATACTATTTGTCTATGTATACACATCCAGAATCCACATGGAATGTACAATATCGGCCAAGTGATCATGCCATGAAATGTTCTTGTTTGTATTTTGAATCATGTGGAATACCATGTTCCCATATGGTATCAATCATGAAAATGGAGCATTTGAAAGAAATTCCCTCTAGCTGTATATTACAAAGGTGGACAAAAAATGTCAAGTCTTCCACTTTACTTGGTAAGACCCCTTTTCCAGAATGGGTTACGCAAACAACACGGTTCGGTGCATTGTCAAGTGCATGTACTGAGATGTGCTATTATGCTTCGCACTTAACCAATGGATACGAAGAAGCTAGAGATGCAGTGACAAAGTTAACATGTCGAATGAAAGATTTGTACGTCCAACATGTTGAAGAAAATGGAACAAAAGGAAAAGCCAATGTTAAAGGGACATGTTTACATTTTGGTGTTGGTGATCCTCCCTTTACAAAGACGAAGGGGAGTCGTTCTGTTGCAAAGGATAAGTTTTCAAAGCCAAGAAAATGTGGTCATTGCAGGTATCTAACAATTTAATTTATCTAGTAAGTGTATTGAATTATAATTAAATTTATATCCTAAGTGTAATGTGTTTTGTTACAGAGGTACTGGTCATACGAGGAATAGGTGTCCAAAACTCGAAAATGAGAATATTGATTCTTTTCCTACACAAGATACTTATGTATCAGGGGCAAGCATCTTGCACCAAAAAGGTGGTTTCAATGTCGACCTTACTTTTGCTAATAGTGACTACAATATAATGGGATATGGTTCCAGTGGGCACCCTACTTTTGTTGGAACTGATTACAATATAATGGGATGCGATTCCAATATCTATCCTAACTTTGCGATAATAATTTTTTATTTAACTTTTATTCACAAAATTTATGTTTCAGAATTTATTAATTATTAGTTACATTATGTAGGTACATACATGCTCAGAAACTCCTGACAACATTTATGGCCATGTCGTAGGAGGGACAATTGGCTTGTCAAAGTGATTGTAACAATCTTCGAGACAATCAAAGAAATCAGCCTTATATTTTGATTTTTTGTGTGACATTACTCGTTTGTGTAAGGCTTATATTTATAAGGCATATGATTTTTTATATGTACAAGACAAATGATAGTGTAAGACTTTTAATATTCTCAAACACAATACTTACCACTATGATTTCATTCATCATATTCATAACAACATAAGGCATATGACTTTGTTCTTATGCTACTTACCATTCATCAACACAATAATAGTCATATACTATTCTTAAACACAACACTTACTATTCGTTCTTATGCTACTTACCATTTATAAACACAAGAATTACCATTATGATTTTATTCACCGTGTTCATAACAACATAATGGATTTTCACGAACACATAAACTATTTGGCAAATAGTTTACAAAGTCATCATCACTATCATTAGAGAAGTCTGAAATTTGTGGATTCGAAACTAGCAATGGATCTTCAATGATTGTTGTGATAGCATTGTCACAATCAAAATGAGATTTTTTCTTGGCATATTCAATGTAATGAAATCTATCCAATCTTCGTTGCATCTGTGTATTCTCTCTTTGTAGCCTTGATATGACTGTTGCATCATCGCATGATTTGTTTCTGCATAGTTCAGCTGAACGTGCCCTTGGAACCCGTAGCCCATGCCATCGACAATATATCTCAAGTTCACAACGTTTTTCGAAGAGGTCTTGCCATTGTAAGTTGTTTCTGTCAACATTGACCCCGTCTGGTGGATGATCATATGCATGACCAACAATTACGTGACCCACATCTGATTGCCATGGATCATGCATGAAAAGAGGTTTATTATGGAAGTGACGTTTGGTTCCATACCATGTCTTTCCTAATGGATCAGTATATGAACCTATTGTTGGAGGTGTTTGAAAATCATCATCACTACCATGACTAAATGTAGAGATAGATGATGCAATATTTTCAGATTTTCGTTTAGGCATTTTTAGTACTTAGGCTCGTAGTGAAGTGTGATGTATACAAGTGAGGTTAAATAAGGGTGTCACATGTGATCTATTAGTATTATTTTAATCATTGTTAATAATCACATGTGAATAGTTATATGTACTAATGTCATGTCAATCATGTTCAATTATTTGAATGGTCAATAGTCATATGTACTAGTATCATGATCAATCATTTTCAGTAGTCACATGTGAATTATATGAGTCACATGTGAATAGTCAAAAAGTAATAAAGTAGTGAGTGGAATTTATTTGAGTGGTAGTAAGTGAGGCTTATTTGAGTGGTAAGTTAAGTCTAATAAACTAGTAAGTATGATTGAATGAAATGGTAAGCAAAGAGTAATAAAGTAGTAAATGGAGTTTATTTGAGTGGTAGTAAGTGAGGCTTATTTGAGTGATAAGTTAAGTCTAGTAAACTAGTAAGTAGAGTCTTTTTAACTAGTAAGCAAGATTGAATAAACTAGTAAGCAAAGAGTAATAAAGTAGTAAGTGTAGTTTATTTGAGTGGTAGTAAGTGAGACTTATTTGAGTAGTATGTTAAGTCTAATAAACTAGTAAGTAGAGTCTTTTTAACTAGTAAGTATGATTGAATAAAATAGTAAGTAAAGAGTAATAAAGTAGTAAGTGGAGCTTATTTGAGTGGTAGTAAGTGAGGCTTATTTGAGTGATAAGTTAAGTCTAATAAACTAGTAAGTACAGAGTCTTTTTAACTAGTAAGTAAGATTGAATAAACTAGTAAGCAAAGAGTAATAAAGTAGTAAGTGGAGTTTATTTGAGTGGTAGTAAGTGAGACTTATTTGAGTAGTAAGTTAAGTCTAATAAACTAGTAAGTACAGAGTCTTTTTAACTAGTAAGTAAGATTGAATAAACTAGTAAGCAAAGAGTAATAAAGTAGTAAGTGGAGTTTATTTGAGTGGTAGTAAGTGAGACTTATTTGAGTAGTAAGTTAAGTCTAATAAACTAGTAAGTACAGAGTCTTTTTAACTAGTAAGTAAGATTGAATAAACTAGTAAGCAAAGAGTAATAAAGTAGTAAGTGGAGTTTATTTGAGTGGTAGTAAGTGAGACTTATTTGAGTAGTAAGTTAAGTCTAATAAACTAGTAAGTACAGAGTCTTTTTAACTAGTAAGTAAGATTGAATAAACTAGTAAGCAAAGAGTAATAAAGTAGTAAGTGGAGTTTATTTGAGTGGTAGTAAGTGAGACTTATTTGAGTAGTAAGTTAAGTCTAATAAACTAGTAAGTACAGAGTCTTTTTAACTAGTAAGTAAGATTGAATAAACTAGTAAGCAAAGAGTAATAAAGTAGTAAGTGGAGTTTATTTGAGTGGTAGTAAGTGAGACTTATTTGAGTAGTAAGTTAAGTCTAATAAACTAGTAAGTACAGAGTCTTTTTAACTAGTAAGTAAGATTGAATAAACTAGTAAGCAAAGAGTAATAAAGTAGTAAGTGGAGTTTATTTGAGTGGTAGTAAGTGAGACTTATTTGAGTAGTAAGTTAAGTCTAATAAACTAGTAAGTACAGAGTCTTTTTAACTAGTAAGTAAGATTGAATAAACTAGTAAGCAAAGAGTAATAAAGTAGTAAGTGGAGTTTATTTGAGTGGTAGTAAGTGAGACTTATTTGAGTAGTAAGTTAAGTCTAATAAACTAGTAAGTAGAGTCTTTTTAACTAGTAAGTATGATTGAATAAAATAGTAAGCAAAGAGTAATAAAGTAGTAAGTGGAGTTTATTTGAGTGGTAGTAAGTGAGACTTATTTGAGTAGTAAGTTAAGTCTAATAAACTAGTAAGTAGAGTCTTTTTAACTAGTAAGTATGATTGAATAAAATAGTAAGCAAAGAGTAATAAAGTAGTAAGTGGAGTTTATTTGAGTGGTAGTAAGTGAGACTTATTTGAGTAGTAAGTTAAGTCTAATAAACTAGTAAGTAGAGTCTTTTTAACTAGTAAGTATGATTGAATAAAATAGTAAGCAAAGAGTAATAAAGTAGTAAGTGGAGTTTATTTGAGTGGTAGTAAGTGAGACTTATTTGAGTAGTAAGTTAAGTCTAATAAACTAGTAAGTAGAGTCTTTTTAACTAGTAAGTATGATTGAATAAAATAGTAAGCAAAGAGTAATAAAGTAGTAAGTGGAGTTTATTTGAGTGGTAGTAAGTGAGACTTATTTGAGTAGTAAGTTAAGTCTAATAAACTAGTAAGTAGAGTCTTTTTAACTAGTAAGTATGATTGAATAAAATAGTAAGCAAAGAGTAATAAAGTAGTAAGTGGAGTTTATTTGAGTGGTAGTAAGTGAGACTTATTTGAGTAGTAAGTTAAGTCTAATAAACTAGTAAGTAGAGTCTTTTTAACTAGTAAGTATGATTGAATAAAATAGTAAGCAAAGAGTAATAAAGTAGTAAGTGGAGTTTATTTGAGTGGTAGTAAGTGAGACTTATTTGAGTAGTAAGTTAAGTCTAATAAACTAGTAAGTAGAGTCTTTTTAACTAGTAAGTATGATTGAATAAAATAGTAAGCAAAGAGTAATAAAGTAGTAAGTGGAGTTTATTTGAGTGGTAGTAAGTGAGACTTATTTGAGTAGTAAGTTAAGTCTAATAAACTAGTAAGTAGAGTCTTTTTAACTAGTAAGTATGATTGAATAAAATAGTAAGCAAAGAGTAATAAAGTAGTAAGTGGAGTTTATTTGAGTGGTAGTAAGTGAGACTTATTTGAGTAGTAAGTTAAGTCTAATAAACTAGTAAGTAGAGTCTTTTTAACTAGTAAGTATGATTGAATAAAATAGTAAGCAAAGAGTAATAAAGTAGTAAGTGGAGTTTATTTGAGTGGTAGTAAGTGAGACTTATTTGAGTAGTAAGTTAAGTCTAATAAACTAGTAAGTAGAGTCTTTTTAACTAGTAAGTATGATTGAATAAAATAGTAAGCAAAGAGTAATAAAGTAGTAAGTGGAGTTTATTTGAGTGGTAGTAAGTGAGACTTATTTGAGTAGTAAGTTAAGTCTAATAAACTAGTAAGTAGAGTCTTTTTAACTAGTAAGTATGATTGAATAAAATAGTAAGCAAAGAGTAATAAAGTAGTAAGTGGAGTTTATTTGAGTGGTAGTAAGTGAGACTTATTTGAGTAGTAAGTTAAGTCTAATAAACTAGTAAGTAGAGTCTTTTTAACTAGTAAGTATGATTGAATAAAATAGTAAGCAAAGAGTAATAAAGTAGTAAGTGGAGTTTATTTGAGTGGTAGTAAGTGAGACTTATTTGAGTAGTAAGTTAAGTCTAATAAACTAGTAAGTAGAGTCTTTTTAACTAGTAAGTATGATTGAATAAAATAGTAAGCAAAGAGTAATAAAGTAGTAAGTGGAGTTTATTTGAGTGGTAGTAAGTGAGACTTATTTGAGTAGTAAGTTAAGTCTAATAAACTAGTAAGTAGAGTCTTTTTAACTAGTAAGTATGATTGAATAAAATAGTAAGCAAAGAGTAATAAAGTAGTAAGTGGAGTTTATTTGAGTGGTAGTAAGTGAGACTTATTTGAGTAGTAAGTTAAGTCTAATAAACTAGTAAGTAGAGTCTTTTTAACTAGTAAGTATGATTGAATAAAATAGTAAGCAAAGAGTAATAAAGTAGTAAGTGGAGTTTATTTGAGTGGTAGTAAGTGAGACTTATTTGAGTAGTAAGTTAAGTCTAATAAACTAGTAAGTAGAGTCTTTTTAACTAGTAAGTATGATTGAATAAAATAGTAAGCAAAGAGTAATAAAGTAGTAAGTGGAGTTTATTTGAGTGGTAGTAAGTGAGACTTATTTGAGTAGTAAGTTAAGTCTAATAAACTAGTAAGTAGAGTCTTTTTAACTAGTAAGTATGATTGAATAAAATAGTAAGCAAAGAGTAATAAAGTAGTAAGTGGAGTTTATTTGAGTGGTAGTAAGTGTATATTAAAACACTACAATTAAAACATATTATTAATATCATTACTTTTTTTATAGTGTTCTTTCATTGCAATATTGTGTATATATAGATATATATTC